TTTATTTGATTTGACAGTTGTTGACTACACAAATATGTTGTTACTATATATATATGGCACTAAATAGCGCAAATTAGATATTATTGTAACGTTCCGGACCTTTGGACGAAGAGATTTTCGCAATCTGGACCTTTTCGAATTTTAATTGAATACCCCTGTGATAGACCTCCATCCCAGCATAACTAAGATGGGTGGGGAGCCCCCCAGGAAGCCTGACCACAGTCGAATAAAATAAAATTAAATATCTTTATAAGGAATTAGCGCCATGCTACGTCGTCAGAGTGAAATCTGACGGTCTGCAGACGCTATGACCAGTGGTTTTGCCTCAGAGCCGTCCAGGTGTCTTGTGTAGAGTTGTTGAAAACAGTAGGGGCAGATTCAATTCAATTTATTTTATTTTTGTACAGCATGTCACGACCCCGCTCAAAAGGCCGCAACATGAGGGACACAAGACGAGTGTAAAAGTAATAATTAGACATTTATTGAAAGTACAAACAATCAATCAAAACAAAGCAGCATCCAGGTCCTCCAAACAGGAGGCGGGGAGGAGAGGCCCACCAGCCAAAGAAGAGGGTGCTTCTTTATATTTGGCCACTTCCAGCAGGCTCAGGTGGGGCTCGTTAGCTGCCGATCAACATCCTGCAAGACAAACTGACAGGAAACAGACACAGACCCCTGGTGGAAGGGAGGGGTCGTCACAAGCCCAAAATCACAAATCACAAATTTGCCTCAGAGGGCTTTACAATCTGTACACATACGACATCCTCTGTCCCAGGACCCTCACATCAGAACAGGAAAAACTCCCCAAATCCCCTTTAACAGGGAGAAAAGAGGAAGAGACCCGTGGGAGAGCAACAGAGGAGGGATCCCTCTCCCAGGATGGACAGAAGTGCAATAGATGTCATGTGTACAGAATGAACAGCATAACAGATTTGTAACACATTTTCAAAATATCACTCCAATAAGCGAAGCTCTCTAAGTTTTACTGTACTTTACTCTCAGTAAATAATCAATGTGAACAATTTGATATTCAAGGAGGGACTTGGTAATCCTTAAATCATTATGGTGGCACCAAACTGAGCCAAAATACGAAAAGTGGTAGCAGTCAAAGTCTATTCTGAATCCAAAGTTACAAGTCAGATATGCTACTGCTTTACACGACAGGAGTTTGGTGCGAGTATCTTACCAGTTGCAGGGCTTTGTATTGTATTTGATTGGAGACACAGGTGTCAGGATATTGTGTTTGACCTCTATAACAAGCCTGCCAAAAATACCCAACCTGGCACCCCCGAGAGGCCACAAATAAATGGCCTAAAAAACCCGTCTGTGTCCAAGGTGCTGAGCGTTATTATGACGACATTAAGGACATTATTGGCTACCGTCCTTCACAGTATATGAAATATTGCTGGGAATTTGTCACACCGGCCATCTGCACTGTAAGTAAATGTGTTCAAAGTTCAAAAGATGTTTCATATACAGATATACATTCATACTGGTTGCTGATTTTCTTGATTGTGTTATTTCTCTGCACAGTGCACACTGGTCCTCTCTCTGATCAAGTTCACACCACTCAAGTACAACACCTACCAGTACCCCTGGTGGGGGTATGCTCTCAGGATATTCTTTGCTTTCTCCTCAGCTGCCCTTATTCCTCTGTGGGTGATTTACATTTTGACTGCAACACCTGGCACTCTGAGACACATAATGTAATGCAATGTGGAAACATTCTGAGATTTCTTGGCAAACATTTGTCTTCCTCATCCTTAACTGTCTACTAAGCCATTATATTTCCCAGCCCTGTTTACACTGCCCTAGCAGCAGAAGCACAGCTGTATCAGAGAACGTTAACGTTTCCTTCCCTCCTCTCAGAGGCTGAAAGCTTTGTGTTCTCCAGCAAACCCGATCAGTGCGTCACCAGACAAGAGTCACAGGCATCAAACACCTGAGGCCCACACAGAGCTGTGTGCTTCAGAGGTGAGTGAAAGCCCACTTCTGATGGAGCGGTGCCAAAAATGAAATCGCCAACACTGAGATGTGACGAAGCAGTTTGGCAGAGGCTCACAGCTACACACGTTCAATGTTGTTTCATCTTTATGTTTTATGTATATCTCTTGTGTTGCATGATTGTAAATGGAGAAAGAATCACCAAATCTATTGCTGGAGACAAATGTTATTATATGTGCACTTCCAACATTTTGACTAGATAGATAACAATATATGGCATAAATATATGGCAACAAACCCTGGGAGGGGTAAGGTAATTTTTGCAACAGCAATAAGTTGTAATTATTATTTGATGTACAGTGGAATTTAATAGAAACGTTAGTCCTTGAAGAAGGAATGCTGTCTTTACTGATCAATATACTATCTGCATAAAGTACCCATCGCTTCTTATCTTTTTATCTTAACACTTGGAAACCGACAAGGAAAGCTAAATGTCAAGTTGTTTCACAAACAAAAAGTGTATGCTATCAAAACAACTATCAATCAATTCATCAAATGCAGATTTATTAAATGTCTGGGGTAACATTTGGTGCAGCAAATAAAAGTTTGAACACTTTTCTTTGAAAGCAGCAGTTTTCTTTTTGTTTTCTGTGGTTGGAGTTTGGTTGTGATGGAATGCATAATTCATTGTATTGACCATTGTAAAGAAAGTGGTGGCGGTTTAATGCATATGACAATAAATTCATTGAATCCTTATCATTACACTGTCCGCTGTACAGTACATGATTATTTGTTTCTGCACAATAGTATGCACTTATACTGAAATGCTTATTCATGGTGAGCTGTTTGAAACTTACTCTTAGGAAAGTAAATACAATAGCCAAGTGTTCAGTGCACTGATTACATTTAAATACAATGTGATTTGATGAATACAATGTAAAGAATGTATGCTGATGGTTGTCTAGAGACCAAATGTGGGTTTGAATTTGGTAAAGTAGTTAGATTAGTTAGACTTTACCTGCAACACGCAGGCAGACGTGGGAGGAAAGGGTTTGTGTGAGGTGTGCGAGTGCTGCCTCCTACTGGAGGGTCCTGGAACAGACGGGTCAATCTTTTATTCAGTTTCATCAACTGCCACCATAAAGTTAAATTAAATCTGGTTCAAACTGAAGTCTACATAATATACACAAACACAGAGTTAAAAGCATATTAAGTTAGATCATTTGGTAAATATATAATTAAAATCAGTCAAGCATCTGCAACAGTGAGTTTTGAGAAGTGGTTTGAAGGATAGTGATGGTATTATAGAAGTATTCACATATTTTACTGATACAATACCTCAGGGTAAATTACTCCACTAATAGTGAAAGTCTTCTATAATGCTAAAAAAATACTCTGATGAAGAAATGAGGTGGAGTTGAAGTTTATAGGGTTCTTTAAATAAGGTATACGCTAACGATACACGGTATAGCATGTTCTCTTGTAATTCAATAAATAAATAGTCTATATGAAACAACCACATGCATGGTTTTCTTTACTCTTGTGTGAAACAAATGTAAAGAACTTGAGTCAGTATGTGCTCGTTATATCAGTTCAGAAAACATAATTGTGTATCACGATATCTTGATATATTTAATCACAATATGATTCCAATGAAAGACTATACATTATTGTATATTATCATTATATTATATTATTATTATTATATTATTATTCATATATTATTGACGATTAATTATCGCCAAGCCCTAATATAAAGCAGCAATAAATGAAAATACTGTAGTGAAGTACAAGTGCCTCAAAATCATACTTATGTACAGTACTTGAGTGAATGTACTGAGTTTCTTTCCACCTCTGATACTCTGATCGGTACAATGTATTACTGTGTTTAAGTGTTCAGACTTTTCTATGTGAGTTTTGACTGCAGCCACCAAGGGGCAGCATTAGATCCCATAATATCCACAGCATGACTTCATCTCACTTCCCTGAGTCATTTCTTTGCATCAATTATACTCTGAAGCCATCAAGTCTGGAGTTTAAACAATATATTAATTCATCAATGAACAATTTTGATAATTGATTAGTTGTTTAGGCAATCTTTACAAGCCATAAAACCATTGGTCCCTCCAGCTCAGTTCAATGGATGCTCTGTTTTTCTGTGTTTTATGTTTTTTAAAGCATTTTAAATTGAATATATTGAAACTTTGGACTGGCCATAGGCATTTGTTGCATTTTTTCATTATCTGGACCATACACTGTATACATACTCATAACCGGAAGTGCTAATAAGTGTTGTATTAACTTCAATTTAGTTTTAAAATGTAAACCTAATTTAAAACAACAACAAAAATAAATTATATAAAATTGTGTTAATTGTGAAAGGTGTTGTGCAGTAACAATACTGACCTAGTTTTAAACAGTGCTATGCATGAATAACGCAGGTGTGTGTTACCTTAGTTTGGTAGATGTCAGCCGGTGTTGGCCCCATGCTCCTGTCCTTCTCGCGCCAGTCCTTTAGATCTCGCGCGCGGGTTGCGGTAGGTTTTCGCACGCTCCACAGCGGACCAATCAGAGGGCAGTATTTCCCAAGAAGCGTCCCGTTGCCATGCAGTTGTCCTGAAGCCTGTCCTGTCCTGCAGCGAGGGTGAGTTCTGCAACACGGTATTCATTCATTACTTTCTTTAATGTTCCGTAGAAACACAGATTAATTCGCTTTTAGTGGTATATTTATAATGCAGATTCCTGTTTTTGTTCAGGTTGTTCTTACATTGCCATACATCATTATTGTAGGCAAATTAGTTGTGTCTTTGAGCAAGGTTTAATTCAACATTACAGCTGTGCACACGTTATTATAACACGTTATTATAACACGCTATTATAACACGTTATTATATATAATATACAGTGAACAGGGACCCGGGTGGAAACGGTCACGCCTCTTTTTTTTGTGTGTCTGTCCAATCCCATTTCAGAGCACACGCGAACAATTTGCATACGACCAATGATCACGGCTATGCAAATACTCGCTTGACTTGTATTGTCCCGGACAGTTTTAATGTGAAGTTGCCAGATATCTCTCTCAGTTGCAGCACAGTGGACTACAGATAAAGTGTGTGTGCGTGTGTTTAGTCCAGACGACACCAGAATAACTCTCCAGTGCACAACTCTCTGCTCTAAATTGGATTTTGGATTTTATGAACAACATGACATTTGAGGAACTAAGTGGGGACTATTCTCAAGAAAGGTAAATAATATGAATTATGATTTACTCCAGTTTATTCTAGTATGACTTCACGTTACGGGTGTCGCATCACACAATTGTTTGTGTGCAGCAACAGTTCGTGCATTAAATATATTAATGCACGATGAAGGTAATGTTAAATCTATGCATTAACTATATTAATGCACGATAAAGATAATGTTAAATCTAGTCTTTTGCTACCAACTAACTGCTCTTCTGTTGAGACCATGTCGCGAGACAGTCTCTACTTTTAGATAGCGTTAGCTAACGTAACACGACGCTGCACACTGGTTAAAGGTGAGCAAAAAGTATCAGGATAACGGACATGACAGTTTTCATTATGGAGGTTTACTTTCCCCCAGCTGTCAAAACGATTTCAACCGTAAAACACAACTGTTAGCTAACTACGTACGTGTCGAAACCAGTGTCTGCACGTCAGTTGTGTTTGTGACGACGCCGGGTGGTTAGCTAGCAGCTAACATTAGCCAGGGGAAGGTACAACTGACGATGCAAAAGTGTTTTGGGTCCAAATGAATGACACGCAGTTTGTCTCCGTGTGTTGCAGAATGGATTCAGTGGCGAAAGCTTTGGAAGAAGTCCTCACCTCTGCGTTGCCACAGGGCAGCATTACTATCGGAGTCTACGAGGCTGCCAAATCACTCAATGTGTAAGTACGAGGTTATATGAGTTATTGACCTATTGACAGTTAAAGATCTCGTACACGTTGACTGACTCATGTCTATCAGGATATGTACTATGCTTTCGACAAAAATATAAAAAGACTAACTTAAGGATCTATTTTCTTCCTCCTTCAGGGACCCTGACAATGTGGTCTTGTGCATCCTGGCCACTGATGACGAAGATGTGAAAGATGTGGCCCTGCAGATCCACTTCACCCTCATTCAAGCGTTCTGTTGTGAGAATGATATCAACATCCTGAGAGTGAACAACACCCAGCGCCTGGCAGAAATACTGGGTGGAGGAGGAAAGCAGAGTGGGGGTGAACCGATGGACCTGCACTGTGTCCTGGTCACTGTAAGTATCCTTCCTCATCAATCACACTTTTATTACTCCTAAATCAATCTTGTAATGTTGTGATTTAATTCAAAGTGTTGGGCCCTAGGCATCAATAAAACTTTTACTCAAGGGAGAACTTGTCAGTACTTGTTCTCCTGCATTTGATAGGCATGTTTATGACTCCTCCCTCATATGACATCCTAGGAATTCCAGTAAAGGGACATAACTTGTATCTGCACACACACACAGGGACTATTATGATTCCATAAAAATAATAGTATATGCAATTAGATCATTTATTCTCTTTCATTCATATTTTCAGAGCCCACATTCGACATCATGGAAGGACCCTGCTTTGAGCAAAGTGAACCGGTTCTGCAGAGAGAGCCGCTGTATGGACCAGTGGGTACCCATCATCAACCTGCCCGAACGCTGAACTTTTAGCTGCAAAAAAACCCTGTGAAAGGACTTGTATTCGCAAAGTAACAGCGGTGTGAACCCCGATGGACACTTGACCACCCAGAGATCAAAATTCCAAAGCACTGCTGATGGGGAAAGAATATTCGGAGGAAAAAAGAAGACCCCGCTGTCTACCTGGGATCTATTTAAAGAACGGGGGGGGGAAGAGCTGTGGAATGGATTTCCACTTTGGACAGGACCGTTTGTCGTTGCAGCCGAGATGAGATGGCGAGGCGCTTGTATCGTCACGAGGTGGAAACTTAAACAAAGCATGTGAAGCCGAACTCTGTACAGAAGGATTATATCATGTTTGCTTGGTAAAGCCTCTGTGAGGAGTCGGAGAAGTGGGGAGAAACCAGTCATTGGAGCTGTTGAGTGGACCAAAGCCTCAGCCTCTCTCTGCAGAAACAAGGCACTTGTTGAAACACTGGACCTTTTGCAATTTCACTTATTTGATTCAAATTGTTATTGTTGACGTTGCTACTGTCAAAATTTAAAAAGGGAAGGCCTCCATATCCAGTGAAGACATTCTGTGTATTTAGTGTTTTCTATGCCAGCTGGGTTTTTTTGCCACAAGTAAAATTATTATTTTGTTACAATTTAAGTTATTTCTAATGATATTTAAGTGTATTTATGTTTCTATCTTTTTTTTTTTTTTTTACCTTAAATATTTGCAAAATCTGAATACATATGTGTTGCTGTCAATAAAAAAAGTATTTTTTTGGAAGCCAGAACTGCATGTTTCCTTTTTTTTTCCCCTTTCTGGAAATGTTAGCAAAGCCGAGCTGAATTCTGACCTCTTTGGCAGTTGCAGTTGTAAAGAGGAGTCACGTGCGGATCACAGGGGTCATGTTGGCCTCTGTGGCCTCAGTGCCATCTCTGAGCTGAAGAGAACAATAATCCTCAGCACTCTCTCTCTCTCTGCACGGGCTTCTGCCTCGGTCAGCAGGACCATGTTCATTCATCGACACTGGTTCGCTTTTCACCAATTCTCAGTGATTTGTTGGACAGTTTTAGTTTGCATTTTCACCAGCTGACTTCCTCGAAAAGAGCATGTGACACATGCTGCACAGTTAGAGGGAATATGAACACATAATACACACATTTCAAACTGTATGTTGCAGTACACTGAAGAGTTACATGTCTACCATTGAGACAGAAGTAACATCAAGTGTTTTCATGCTATTTGAACCACTGGCTGCCTCTGCCCTCGGGACAGGAATATGTCGTGTAGCTGACTGCAGAGCACATGACTGGAGCTACTTGGAACATTTTGTAAAGGAGGCATTGGCATGCGATCTGTTGTGCAACCTCGTCTGAACTGCACTACTCCGCTCCTTTTCCGACTGCTTTACACACACACACACACGCACACACACACAGGTGATCTCTCCCTCATTCTCAGTTGAATGTTGGTGATGTCACTGGGCGGTTGCAAGGCAGGCAATCCCCTATAAGTGCGGAGTCATGATCACGAGAAAGAAGGAAGGCTGAGGCTGTCCTTGAGTTACACAACCCAGTTCAGCCCAGTTCAGCATTTAACGTAGCTTTCAGCTAAGTTAAATGCTGAACGCTGTCGTCATTTAATGTAGTTTGCTTTGTTGGGCAGGTTTTTCTTTGGGTGCTCTGGTTTCCCTCAAAGACTTGAAGGCAAATATATATCTATTTCCCTGCCCTTGCTACTAGCATTTGTAACATAACCAGGTTTATTAGGTATATTATATGAGGTCAACATGCATGCCCTCATGTAACACACTGGCATTCCTACTGAAGTCTTATGGCAAAGAATAACAGACGGACAGTAGTTAAACGCTAATACATAATGACACAGCTTATGACTGGTACCTGAGTGTGTCCCTGGCCAATAAGCTCCTTGTTCCCTGTGGTTTCAGTTGGCACCGAGTTAAAGGTTGTCTGGCGCGTGACTGCAGGCTGTGACACTGACTGATGTAATGGGGCATTGTTGTGATCGAAGGGAAAAGGTTATTTTAAGGAGCCGTGGAGGGCTGATGTAAGTGTTACTATGCCACATCGGCCTTCCGGTGAAGTCCCAAAAATGGTTGAGGTTTGCATACGTCATTAGCGCCTACTGGCTGTGCTGTATTGTATGTTAAAGTTCAGGTGAAGCATTATCTACGCGTTTATCATCTGATAAGTCATGGTGCAATTTGAATTGTTATATATAGTGCAACCTGGGGAACATATTGTATTACCTGAGTCAGTGGAGTAATACGTATAGAATTGTATTGTGCATATAGGAGCATACAGACAGCAATGCTCTGACCTTGTGAGGGGGAAAGGTAAACGTCCGGTTAAGATAGCAGCATTGCAGAATGAAAGGAAAATCTACCATAAAATTAAAGTTCTCTACTGAAAACTGAGCTGGACATCTTTGTAGAAATGTAATCCACCTTCCATTTTAGGGTGGAATTTAAAAGTTTGCATGAACATGTAAGTAAACTATAAAAAGTAAATAAAGTAAAACCCCAGGAGTGAGATTGGCTCGACAGGCTGGCGACAGCCAGACACTCTGTTTTATTCTCAGGACATTTGATTTATTGATTGCTTTTTTTCGGGATGTAAAGAGCATTTCAACACTAGCTTTAAAATAAATGTAGTGAAGTAAAATGTTCCTCTGTAAAAGTATAAAGTTGCAGTCATGGCAAATACTCAAGTTAAGTACAAGTACCTCAAAGTCACACCACACTTCATACCACTGGTTATGGGTGGATAATATAAATGAGTTATGACACTGGGAGTCTATGGGAGTGTTGGCAGAGTTCAAATGGGCTCAAACGTCCGTTTTGTGTCTCTATACACAGCTGAGCCAACCAGAGGAACAGAGGCCCACTGCAGTCAGCCCACAACCTCCACCCACCGCCCTCACCCTCCGGTCCTCCCTCCCTCCCTCCCTTCCTCTCCCCCTCATCAGCACATTCCAACACACTGACACTGTAACTGCCAAGGCAGATTTCCAGTGAGGCACATGGTCAGTGAGCCAGCCTGCCAGCCACTGGCCATGAGCCTCCCGTGTGATTCTCACATTGCTGCACAATGACAAACTGGGATTACCGTGAGACTGTGGTGGTGGGGGGGGGGGGGACATGCTTCAGCCCTTCAGGGGCATTCATGCTCACAGAAAATATCCAGTCTGTATCATGTTTGGGCATAAAAGGAGCTGTTTTTGGTTTTTAAAAAAAGCTAGCTTGAATGCATGCATGATGATTTATTCCACTGTGTGTGTCTTTGGCGTTCAGTGAAGGTGTTACGCTGTCCACACAATGCTAATGCACGGGGCTTTTTCCTGCAGTGACATTTGATCTTTCAAGGAAAAGAGAACAATCCGTGAGAAAGCAACAAGAGGAAAGCAAAGTCCCGAACAATGAATAATAGGTGACAATGTCATTTCATCATTAGTCAGTTTTCAGTCTGAGAGCTGTCATGTCCAGTTCTGTATTTCTGCAGTTGTTACAATAGGTGACGATGAGTTTTATTCCTGTGTGATCTTCCCATTATGCAGGAGAAAATTAAACAAGCAGGTGATCCACCAGCTGGCCAGGAACAAGGTCAGAGAGACCCAAGTGGCCACCAACGGTGAATGAAAACAGACGCTTGGGCTAAGCAAACAGTTTCCCAAAATAGGTACAGACTCTCCAAGAGTGGAAGTAAGGGTTTGGTAGTTTCTATATTTAGCCCTCTTGTGTTCTCTGGTTTCTGACGGCCACGGTGAGAGGCCGGAGGTCTCTCCTATCCCGAGTGAGATATAAATAAACGACTAATGAGCGGAAATGGCCCCAGATAAACTGTGGGCAGATCTCTCTGGCCAGGCTCCATCTGAGCAGTAAAAAGACCCAAATCAGGTTTCTACATTAAACACTGTAAATCTGTGGATGCGGACAATAAATCGAGACAGCAGTGGTCATCATGAGTTTAAATCTTGTGACTGTGCAGCACAACACATCTTTATTGAGATATTAGTACAGTATTGTACTTTAGGAATGCTTCACTTTATTAATCTTAGTTAAGTCTTCATACAAATGTTGGTATATTAATAAAGACATTCATCAAAACGCAGATTCTGACAGTTGAATGAAGCTATCAATGGAACAATAAGGCTAGTACAGAGTTGCTGAATGGACAGAAATCGTGATATGGTAATCTGAGATTTGTCCTTAAGAAGCGTACAGAATGATTTATTGCAAGTAAGAAAACTGACTGTTGTACACAATCATTTAAAATACAACTGGATTATAACAAATTATCTTGTTGATTTGAAGACCTTAAAGTACCCTTTGGAGAGGGAAATAATACCATAACGTGAAACACAATGTACTTTTTTGTTGACAGAAACAGATGGCACAATATTGTTACAAATCACTTTCATCCCACAGATAAAAACATTCGATAGAAACTCTTTTTTTTTTTAATATATTTTTTTTTAAAGAAAGCACTCCCAGTTAGAGTATGCTTCATGATACAAGGCAAACATAAGTAAGGCTTTAGAGTGTAAGAAAGTCCTAATTTATGCTATTTATTCTGTTTTTTTTGTTACATTTACCGTAGCAGATATATTCCCCTAGTGACTCACAACATGAAGGACATGTTAGACCGACGAGTGAAGACCCCCCCCACAGACACAAATGTTTAGTTTAAATTAAAAAAAGACTTGGAAAAAGTTGAGAGCAGTCTTGGGAGAGTGGTTTTCTCACCAATGCACACTACCACCATTTGCACCTGTACCAAAAACACTGTACGACAACGATATGCACATTTCCTCAACTAAGACACTTGTGATGAGCTCGTAAGCACGGCTCACAGTATAGTGCAAGACTTGCTGACATGCTTCATGTCGTCCATGTCCTAAAAATATCGTACCACAGAAACTTTTCAGAAGCAATGGCTACAAATAGCTTCATTCAGATGCACATCTAGATGTTTTTTAAACGTAGTACCATTGGTTTGGCTTGGTCCCAGGGTCTTTATTACACAGTGTTGCCCTGCACACATAGTCAGCTGACACCTAAAGTCAAGAATAATTAGAATTCTGCATTAATGTGATAAAGCACTTTCATTTTCGCTGCAGTCACTCTGTATCTCACACAGACAGCTGACAAAAGCATCACAGCACCGGGGTCATATTATACCAATGGCTTCAATCGGAGCATAGATGATATTGGATTAAAATATGTTTTTAATGGAATTTATTTCCACATGATGGATCATTAAATCAACTAAATACAACACTGTATCATAGTTAATCATACTGTAAATACCAGACAGGACAACGATGGATTAAACAGCATGCGGATTGTCGTGGACCAGTCAGAGCTGGGTTGCCAAAATACTTTTAAGTGTCTGAATTTCACACCAGATTTATTGACAATACTGTCCCCAATCAAGGATACATCACGGTAACATTTGAGTATTGGCAATGTAAACCCCGACCACTGAATTCAGTGATCAAAACAAAATGTGTAAAATACTCGTTGGAAGTCTGAAGCCACATGAAAACTAATAGCCGATCAAGGCTCATACAACTGAAGAGCCAGCAGCCAGCACAGCTGTGGAAAATCACCTATAATTTTTATCCATCTTAAAGGTAATGTGCTTTTAAAAAGGACTGAATCTCTTCACTTAAGGCAGACCAGAGCGACAGTAACAGACACTGCCCAATGGTTGTACATACAGTAGAAAGGCCCAAATCCATCACTGAGGAGTGCCATTGCTGCTACAATATTAATAATATAACATTCTGTACCCGATGCATTCTCAACTCATGCAGCCAAAGTCTTAAGAGTTAGTGGTCAGAGCTCAAACTGAACAGTGGCACTAGTGGGGGCTCCTTTTTTCATGACGAGGAGGAAAATCCTGGTTTGAATTGCTGATAACAGAACAGTGGAACACGTGGTAATGATACAATGATCACAGTCCACCCCTTACTCCTCCCAACACAAAGAATGCAGCAACATTAATAAGCAACAAAAATAAACACATGAACGCTAAGTGGCGTCTACTACAATATAGTGCAGGGTTTTTTGTCCTTGAAGGGATTGTCTGAGGTGGGAATGCCCATAAGGAGAGGGTCGTTTCTGGCATGTTCACTGCAGTAGTTCATGAGGTCTGCAGAGGCCTTGGATACCTACGGGAACAATGGAAGACATTTGCTACATTGTTCATTCTCTTCTCAATGATGGGTTATTCTGGAGAAGCATGAATTATTTTGTTTCTTTAAAAAAGTCGAAGTTTAGAAAACGAAGATGCATCGGTTTATTACTTATTTATTATTATTTATTGTTGCACTGTACCTTTATCCTCTCAATGCTCGCCTCTATTCTCAGCTGCTGCACCGTTCGCCGGGCATGGGCGATGTTATTGGAACTGTGAGCCTTCGAAGACATCCTGGGCAATACAACACTGTAACAAAGACAAGAAAAGAAGCTTGATTAACACTGAGGAGAACGACACTTTAGCATACGGATTATGAGCGCGAAGCCATCAGGCTTAAGAATGACGCCAAAGCTTTGGGTTTTTTTACAGTTCCTGCACCGTGATATATTTTCAGGTCAAGTCGGAGACAGTCAATAAAAAGAATTGTAAACTTGTCTAATTAAAAATGCACTTCAATGCCGTCTCTACAGCCGGAAAGCCCACACCTGTTCCAGATTACAGAAAGAACTTGGTTGTAATGACAGTAACGGAAAACAGTAGCATGAGCAAGAAACACGGTCTGTGCAGGGAAGAGTATTATATTAATATTTATTCAGTAAATGACTTAATGTACTGCTGGTAAATGTGCTGTAAACAATACAACTGTTGGTTTAATAAGTGTCAACGACTGCTATTCTGCTGTTCCTCTCCCTCTGCAGGGCTCTTCTAAAAAACACACAAAGCTGAGGCATGCCCAGACATTAGCAAAATCTTTTTTGCTTGGATTTTTATTTAACTGACCCATTTAAATTGTAACAATTGAGGGCGTGGCCTTTTTGAGTGACAGGTGGGTGCTGTCTCAGGTTGCTAGCTGCCAAATTCCTCCTCTGCTGCGTCATCCGGGCATGACTCAGCTCCACCGACGATCCATCTTTAGAGTTATGCTTTGTTGTCACTGTCAAGCCAGAGCCACACGCTTTGAGCTTCACAAAAGTTCTTAAGAAACCTCTGGTTGGCGTGACGGATACGTCATCCATATCTTATGCACGAAGTGGAAAACTCCAGTGGATTTACATTTTTTTGGTCTTTTTTTTCTTTGGTTTTAAGAGTGCCTTTTTGCAATCAGCACAGTACCCCTGCTGCCAGACAATATGAGCTCTGCAGATAGGTGCTGAACTACAATGACTGAATATCTGACATTGCAGAATATCTATATTCAAACAAAAAGCTACAGCAATGTTAAGATTTCAGTGTGACTGAGAGTGAAGCGTTGGAGCGCTGCAGTGGGTCTGGGTTGTGATTCCGCTTCCCGCTAATCATTTACAGACTGAATGTGAACAAGCCCTGACACATACTGCCGTCCATGTAAGAGCTCTGGCTCCAGTGTCCCCCCCCCCCCCCTGCACTCTTACTTCCTTTTACTGCCCTTTGTCTGAGTTTCTTATAAAAGCACACACGGTATTTCCATTTTTGCAACACACATGTGCCTTCTTGTGACAGGACAAGCTTTTCTCAGTAGGGAACAGGAAGTTTGTCAGAAGTCTATTATGAACATTATTATTTCTTTTTTTAAATTAAATTAAAAAAAAATTATATATTTACATTTTGCTTCATCTGCATATTGTCATTGTGTCTGCTGGAATTTCAAAAATATTTTTCTTCAGTATTTTACTTAATGTTATAAGTGTACAGTGTTTGGTATCAGGCCTCGGTCGCAGTAACGGTAAATAAAAAGGATAATAGCAGGATAAATGCAACAGGTGAGAGAAACGAGCATTCACTTTTTAAAGTCAACTTTTTAATAGCAAACCATAACATTTGATTTTTTATGTTCGACCCTGTCTGCACGCCGTTTACCCTGCAGGATGTAGTCCCTCCAGACAGCCTCTGATGCTGTAGATCTGAGGGACGGAGGAACAATAACAAAAAGAACACCAGAATAGGAAGGAAAGGAAAATCTCCATCTTCTGCCTTGTGCTCGAGGTGCCTGATTAAAGAGTTTTATTTCCATCTAAAGATAAGTAATCACTGCAAAGGAAACACAGCCAGAGATGAGTCAAAGAGCTAAAATGCTATTGATAACATGAAAGTGAGACATGAAAGGGCCATGCTGTACAATGCAAAGCGAACAATCCTCCATAGGAAACATTCTCAGCTTAGTCGTGAATGCGAGGCACCACAGGTGAGGATGGCGAAAACAATCCTTTTATCCATACATGATGAGTGAGGGCGTTTATCTCTATAGTCTGGAGGAGTCTTTAGATGGAGCGGAGTGCCATGTAAGTTTGCTTCTCTGAAAAACACCAGGTTGTTAATGACGTGGGTGCAGTTCTAGAAAATGACTGTATTCATTACTCTGCAGGAGGAGTTTAAGATGTTGCTTTTAGACACCGTGATGTGAAACATGTTTCCCTTTTTATAACCCCCAACACGTCTACAGGGGTTGTGTTTCAGATAGATTTCTGATGGCGAGTGATCATTTCAGTGAAAGGTCAGTCAGTTCAGTTGTAACAATAATGAACTCAAAGACCTTCTTGGCTGACTGAAAGCAGTTCAACAAATTCTTTAAGGCCGTCTGGAGAACAGGTTAGTCACCAAAATTCTTTGCACACCTCTTCAATCGCTTTTCTGAGCAGCAATTTGCTGCTGCCAGGTAAGACCTTGGGTTTCCTGGTGCTACCAAGAAAACCAGATTGCACCGTTTATAAATTGTGCAATATGCAAATACAATACAGAAACTGCTGATCAAACAAAACAATGACTGAAGAGATAACATGAGCAATGCAAATAGTCTTCACACGGCAGGGCTGCAGTGAATACCACACTTGGAGAACTCCTTCTTGAAAAGCATCCCTGCAGAAACTTAAAAGCAAATAATCCATGACTTGAATTTAAAAGGCACTCACTGCTAACGGTGAAAACAACAGCGAGTAGCTGATATATTAATGTTCAGAATGTTAAATACAGCTGCTTTAACACAGTGGCAGTGGTAATTATGATAAATTCTTGAACATAGAGGACAGAGCTGCAAATAAAACCAGAGCGGACCCTCAATAGAATAGCTCCAGACCTCTGCCAGCTGAAGGCATTCAGCATTCAAGGCATTTAAAACAATGGACACTCTTCTATGACCAACTGGGAGACTCTCAAGGAACCACTGCAACCTGCAACCTTTGTTAAGACTAAATAGAGGCAGGTTGATTATAACTTAGTGCCGTAGACAATTGCAGTAATTTATCAAGAACTGTTGTTTGTTGCACCACTTTACTAATTAACCTTTGTACAGAACAGTTCGGCATGCTAGCAAGGCTGAAAAGTATCTTTCTGACGCCTTCGGGTGTCTCCGTCTGTCACGTGATAAAGTGAACCAAAAAAAGAAAGAAACCTCCAGAGATGAAATTTAAGACGAAATTAAAGACAGAATTTATAGTCTACTGGCGCCAAATGACTGCATCGGTTCAACCATGCATGTGGAGTAGAAGGAGGAGGAGGCTAAATCAGGAAGAGGCACTTAAAATCCACCGGCAGAATCCCTTCAGAAGGGATTCTTGAAGGCGAAACCATCCCCACTGAGTCACCTCAGTCAAAGTGTGCAGCCCCTGTGATGTGATGCCAGCTACTACCAGCAGCACCGGTCTGACTGAAACTCTATGGGAGGGCACCGTAGTGTGAGCGTGTGAGTGTGTGGCACTACACACCATCACGCACATATAGGAGCATTGCACAAAAAACGTTACCTCCAAGGATCAGAAAAGAGACCACCCCTTTCACAGCCCACCCTATCACGACACACACACACACACACACACAGACAAGCCAGCCCGGCCCCCCTACTGCACCCCCCCCCCCCCCCTTGCTCCGCTCTACATTGCACACACAAATCCACTCGCACACATGCAATTCATTAGCACAGCGTTCAAAGTGCTAAGAACAGGGAGCCATTATGACTCGGTGGCATAAACACCAACACTCAGAGATGAAGAACTGAGGGTATGTGTGTGTGTGTGTGTGTGTGTGTGTGTGTTACACTGCTACTACCCTACCGCTCAGACTCAAAGAAAAACTCTTAAATTTGCTGCTGACTAATACAAACGACGCCCATTAAAGGCTAAAAGAAGAGTCAGTCCTGTCAACTGTACAGTATGTGTGGTCCCTTCTGAGTATCTGAAGCTTTTATAATAAAGTAACACCACTGGAAATAAACTGCTTTTGGGCTGAAGTATTGCCAGCTGCACTTAAGACTTGACATGAGGTGACGAGGGGTAGGCAAAGATTCCATTTAGTTCACCCCAAAATAACAAGTCTGTCATTTTTGAGCCCGCTCTTTTGTGGCTTGTAAGATTGTAAAAACACAGCTCGAGTTAGCACCCATAGTTCAGTTTTAAGAGGAAAATGATAGTAGACATTGTAGAGTATATTTTGCTGGCAGCTTCATTAACTTCAATTATTTGGAGAGGTCTTGGGAGGAACTTATGTAGACTAAGGCTGGAATTATGCTGCTGTGAGGATATACTTAAAAGTCCCACACCTCGCAAAGCTCAATAACCTCTCGTGGGAACCTGCATGGGCCTGCCGGCTGCAAACTAAGATGGTGAACACGGTGAACGGTAATACTTTCCGTACATCAGCATGTTAGCGTCGTCATTATGAGCATGTTAGCTCAAAGCACCACTGTTTTTTCCATGTACAGCCTCACAGAGCTGCTAGCATGGCTGTAGACAACCGTTAAAAGATCTAAAAAGACGTAAAACATCATGCACGAGGACGTTACTTTCCTATCTGCTGAAATCTAAATGAAAGGTGACGTTTTACTGCTAGTAACATTTATGACGATCATGTTAAAACAGCCTGGAGTCTGGTCTGACTCTGTGTACCAGCTGAGGAGTTTAGAACAGTGAAATGAGGAAAGGCGATATTTGGAGTCTAGACACATGTCTGCTGCTTTGAACAAAAGAGAGTTCAAAGAATTGGCTCCAGCCACAAGCCAGTTGATTGGTTGTTCTCCCTTGTGTACCCGCACACACAAAAACTCTGTCATCTCTCTCGTGTACACCCCTCCCCCCCCCCCCCCCCCCGCTCTCTGCAAGCGTGAGTTGTTTCCCAGTCTGCGAGCTAAAAGTAGCCTTCTCATACTCTCTGCCGCCAGTCAGCACTTTTCCAGCCGAGTGGAAAACCATCGAAAACATGACCTCACACTAGAGTCCGTTGCTGAGCAGATCAAATCAGCGCTACCGTGCAGTCCCCTCCTGCTTTACTATAAACACCGG